ACAGAACAAGGGACCCATGCATGGGGACCAGGTGGGATCCAAGAGAGCCTGCGGGCTGCTTGATGGTGTATGAAGAGCCTCAGAGACTCTCATTCCAGGGGATGTCTGGAGCTGTGAAGGTGAGTGTCTTTTTCTCTCTCGCTGGGGAGTGGGATGGCCGGGTGTATGGAAGGTGGTGGTAATGGAAGGCTTTCTCGAGTGGGGGGGGTCAGTGGAGGCGGAGGTGGTGTTGGTTGGTGTCAGGCTCTCTCCGTGGGAGGGGGGGGATGTTTTTTGCGTTGCCTAGGGCAGCACAAAACCTAAATACACCACTGGCTCCAATGCTTAAGGAACATTTGTTTATTGGAAGATTGATTGGAAGATATGAGCATCTTATGTACATTATTGAACAATTTTGTGATGCGCTGTGGTCTCATAAGTTTGGAGTATTTGAAAATCATTGATATCTTCTAAATGGAAGATTTGACCTCTACCTTACATAATAAAAAGGACAAATTCAGAGGCCCTGGCTGTACTTCAAAACCACAGAACCCTACCTGCAGGTAACAGCCCAAATACTCTAAACTAGGATGAATACAACAGGGTATCTCATTTTCACCTCTATGACCTCCTGCTAGAGCTTTATTTCTTCATTGAGAGCCATCTCCCCTTCCCCACTTTCCTGATATATTTTCTGCGAGAGACAACCCTACCCTGCCACCCCATCCTTCAACTTTCCTAGATCTGGGATGCGTTACTCATCTAAACAGGTTGGCTGGTTAAATGAAACATGAAGCAAGCCTTTCTTCTACGACCCTAACCATTTCTCAAAAATTCAAAATGGTCACTAACAAGTTGTACTGTGTTAACTAATGTTTAGATTATTACATAATCGCTAAAGACAACTTTGAAGCTGAAATGTTCTTAGAGTATAATTGTAACTATTGAATGGTTTTTGACATCACAAATAAAGAATCTGATAAAAAAAATCCAAATCCCCTTGCATTCTAGGCCACATAGGTTCACATATAACTCGTAATCATTCCCAGTATTCAAAGATGTGTAAACCAGTCCCTCTAGGCCAGTGGTTCCCAACCTCAGTCCTCAAGTACCCCTAACAGGCCAAGTTGTGAGAATTATCCTTAGATACAGTGGTGAAAATAATTATTTGATCCACTGCAGATTTTGTAAGTTTGCCCACTTACAAAGAAATGAAGGGTCTATAATTTTTATAATACGTGTATTTAAAATGATAGAGACAGAATATCAAAATCCAGAACAAACACAATACAAATGTTATAAATTCAGTTGCAGTTCAGTGAGTAAAATATGTATTTGATCCCCTACCAACCAATAATAATTCTGGCTTCCACAGACTGGCTATGTGCTCATGTGGCACACAGATTAGTCCTGTCAATTTAAGAAGGTGCTCCTAACAACTTGTAATGTGTATAAAAGACACCTGTCCACAGAATATCTTTCTTCCATTCAAACCTCCCCACCATGGGCAGGACCAAAGAGCTGTCAAAGGATGTCAGGGAAAAGATTGTAGACCTGCACAAGGCTGGAGTGGGCTACAAGACCATCATCAAGAAGCTTGGTGAGAAGGAGACAACTGTTGGAGCGATTGTTCACAAATGGAAGAAATACAAAATAACCATCAATCGCCTTCGGTCTGGAGCTCCATGCAAGAGTTTGCCTCATAGGGTTAGGATGATCATGAGAAAAATGAGGGATAAATGATTCGGGGAAGAATTTGGAGAAAGTGCTGTGGTCAGATGAGACCAAAATTGAGCTCTTTGGCATTAACTTGACTCGCCGTGTTTGGAGGAAGAAAAATATTGACTATGACCCTAAGAACACCATCCCTACAGTCAAGCATGGAGGTGGAAACATTTTGCTTGGGCTGCTTCTCTGCTAAAGGTACAGGCTGACTTTGCCACATTGAGGGCTCAATGGACGGAGCCATGTATTGTAAAATCTTGGATGAGAACCTTCTTCTTCTTCTACGGACAGAGCTGAAACTTCGAGTTGCCAAACGACAGCCAAGAAACCTTAAGGATTTACAGAAGATCTGTAAATAAGAGTGGACCAAAAACCCTCCTGAGATGTGTGTAAACCTGGTAACCAACTACAAGAAACGTCTTACTTCTGTGTTTGCCAACAAGGGTTTCTCTACCAAGTACTAAGGCATGTTATGCTTGGGGATCAAATACTTATTTTACTCACTGAACTGCAACTCAATTTATAACATTTGTATTGTGTTTTTTCTGGATTTTTGGTTGATATTTTGTCTCTATCATTTCAAATACATCTATGATAAAAATTATAGACCCTTCATTTCTTTGTAGTTGGGCAAACTCTGCAGGAGATCAAATAATTATTCCCTACTGTAGCTGTCATAAATACCAAGCCATTGGCATTAATTTAAATCACCTGTACAAGGTGAAGGAAATCATGACATGCAAGTGTACGATCCAACTGCACATGTTCCTGCATTAAAAATGGCTGTGTGTATAAGTGGGCGCTGCAGCGACCATCGGATGGAACCCAACAGAATCAGCAAAGGAGTTACAGCAAGGCAATGTTTCGGAGTCTCGTAGGACCCCCTTCATCAGGCATATCACAGGTGATCCTCAGTGTGCTGGTGACATTCTCCCTTGGAAATCATGATATGACTAATTTATTGGGGATACTCGAGGACAGAGCTTGGGAACCACTGCTCTAGAGGACAATATAGCAGCATGCACTGTCCAAAGTAAAGAGGGCAACTGATAAGTTCCTATTAAATGAACAAATGTGGGCTTTCCATACAGAAGTGTTCAAGAGGCAAACAATGGACATCAGTGGCAGTTCTCCAATATTAAAGTCAAGGAAATTATTGTTCTCTAGAAAACATAAAATTGGGTGTTTTTCAAAAGTCTCAGTCTTGCTTCTTGTACCTGCTAAAGGAAACACAGAAGAAGATCTAAACAAAATAATACAGTATTTGTATATACAGTATACTGGATAAAGTCCATTGTAGTCCTTAAAACAGGTTTTAATTATTTGACCTTGGTTAGTATTCTGTACTGTCAAACTCTGAACTCTTTGAAGTACGGTAGGTAGAAACCATTAGGGTCAGAATTTTGAGTGCAAGGACAATTCAACTGTTCAGATTACCATCTGCCTGCTCCATAAACAGTTACATAAACAGGGTGTCTAAAGCCAACATTTTTTTTGCATTTTCAGTAGAGTGGGGAAGGTTTGGACTCTTTTTCCTGCTAGTATATTCTTTCTATCTGTCCCATTGACCACTGTCACCAGAACTGGAAATAAGGGAAAATCACAAATTTGTACTGTTTGCTGAAAAGGAGTTGAGAGTAAATCTTCCATTGGGGACACCCGTTCCAGTGACAGCTGCTTAAGAAGGTATTTTCCTTACTTTGGAGAGATTTTCTCTAACTTCCTGTTGTATCTACAGGAGAAAAAGTTGATCCTGATCTCTCTCCTCCTAATACCCTCATCCCCCCCCCTCTCTATTATCTGATCTCTACTGGCATGTGACCTTAAGGCCATGGACATTTGCTGCTCCAGTATTGAGTTTTCTCTTAGTTTTACAGGAGGTAGGGTTCTTTTTTGGATGTCACTGCCTTTGTGGTATGGAAACTTCCTATTGCCAGTCCACCAGTGGGCTCCTCTTAAGATCCAGAAGAGGATACAGGGTCTACAGGGGTGATGTCATCACTTGGGGACTGTTAGAGACCAGCTGGTGCAGTCACATCTGCCTCGCTGGTTCAACCCCAGCAATATTTCTGCCTGTGTCTCTGTTGGGGTTCCTTTTACCAGAGATGAGTGTGTGATTGTGCTGAACTTTATTTACAGGAGAAAAAGTTGATCCTGATCTCAGGCCTCCTAATACCCTCACCCCCCTCTCTATTATCTGATCTCTAGTGGCATGTGACCTTAAGGCCATGAACATTGCCGCTCCAGTCTTGAGCTCTCTCTTATTTTTACAGGAGGTGGGTTTCTTCTTTGGATGTCACTACCTTTGTAGTATGGAAACTTCCTATTGCCAGTCCACCAGTGGGCTCCTCTTAAGATCCAGAAGAGGATATAGGGTCTACAGGGGTGATGTCATCACTTGGGGACTGTTAGAGACCAGCTGGTGCAGTCACATCTGCCTCACTGGTTCAACCCCAGCAATATTTCTGCCTGTGTCTCTGTTGGGGTCCCTTTTACCAGAGATGAGTGTGTGATTGTGCTGAACTTTATTTAGCAGCTAAAATAGCCATTTTTTTAAGTATCCCAGGAGGCTGCAGGACCAGGAACACATCATTCTGGCTTGGACCAGAATGGCAGCAGGGTACAGGGGTGTTAACAACACTAACATGTGGCTTGGCACTTCAAATTCAGAACCAGTTAGCAAGAAACTCAAAACTCAGGTCCTAACTCTTCCCCACTATACAAAAACTGGGTGAACCTGGGCATTACATTGATTACTGAACCAAGACTTGAAAAAAAAAAAAATAAACTGAAATTTTAACTTATATTCTTTTCCTTTGGCTTAATAAATATTGCCACATTGCTGACTTTGTAAGAGCAAAACAGTTTAATCCTTTATGAATTCAACTTTTCTGTTGCTGAGCAACTTGTAGAATATGTTATTGGTCTGAATTTCCCTTACTTGAACTTATAACACAGTTATGAGCTGTTTGTTCAAAAAAGTTTGCGGGCTTTTATTAAAAACAATGACATTCGTACCGGCGGTCCCGGAGGTCCTGCAACTCCGATCTCCCCTCTTTCACCTCTGTCACCCTGAAAGTTGACATCACAATAAGATAGGACATTAATTATCATGGGTTATACCAGAATATAAGAACAGACTTTACCCTTTTCATGTACGTGATGATGGTCCAACATAATCTCTACAATAATAATTGGCGTTCTACAAATCAAAATGTATTCACTGCAGTTCCCAGAACGAGGAACATCCATGTCTGCAAATGATTTTGCTATATAAAATACTCACGCTTGTATCAATGCTTACTCACGCTCAGGGGCGGACTGAAAACTCATGGGGCCCCCCGGCAATAGGGGATCATGGGGCCCCTGTGTCCTTGCCCAAACTCAAAAAAGCCTATGAAAAAGGTACCAGGGGCATCTCATGGGGCCCCCTACTGACCCAGTGTCCGAGTTTCCAAATGGTCAGTCCGCTCCTGCAATGAGCTAATGTACAGTTTATATTAGTGTGCAATGTTGTGTGTGCTGGGTTAGAAATGAGTATTTATTCTTAGATCTAAAAAGTATGTTTACTCTCAGCCTCTTCCAAATCTCCAGTTTTTTAATGTTTGGGGGTTTTTTTTGCTGATGTGATCTGATTTCCTGCTAGAGGGTGGCTATGTTCCTTCTCCATGGTCCCAGTGTATGTAGGAACATACCCACCCTCTCGTTCTCACTCCTGAGATGGACTATGGGATTTGGGGTATTTTTTGAAAGTTTTTAAGGTTTTAAGGGTATATTGCAGTTTGGGGTTAAGATAGGGGTTTGGGATTACATTTCAGAAGTATATCTAAACTCTGAAAGTACGCGGCATAGAATGTGCACGTTACCTGCTCTCTGAGGGGATAAGTAAGTTGCAAGCTTTACCATAATACTTTGTCCGGTGTACTTTGTCCAGGGTATTAGAACCCAAGCTAGGGCTGGGATTGGGCAGAGGCAGACGAGACCCCTGCCATAGTGTCATGTTGGGGAGGGGGGATACAGATAAGATGGGAGCCTATTCTTCCTGCATCACTTGGCCGTCTACTAATTTCTTTATAAAAGGGACAAATAGAAGAATAAAATTTGCACGTTTGATGAGTTAGATGAGTTAGAAACTACTTCGGCTCACTGATGGAGGAATGAATTTTGGTTACAATAATGTTAATGGGAACCTGTTTTACAGACCAGAGAGAGTCAACTTGTTGAATAGATGTAGAATCTCCACTCTTTCTGGAAAAGTGTTGAAATTCCAGAGCCTCTTGAGGATGTCTTTTTGGAGTTCAGGAAAGGTGAAACATTTTTGCTGCCATCAGCAGATCAGAAGGTTAGAACCCAACAGATCCAAAGATTGGAACCCAGAAGATTAGAACCCAGCAAGTCAGAAGATTAGAAAGCAGCAGATCAGAAGACTAGAACCCAGCACATCAGAAAGCTAGAACCCAGCAGATCAGAAGATTAGAAAGCAGCAGATCAGAAGATCAGAAAGCAGCACTTCAGAAGGCTAGAAAGCAGCAGATCAGAAGATTAGAAAGCAGCAGATCAGAAGATTAGAAAGCAGCAGATCAGAAGATCAGACAGCAGCACTTCAGAAGGCTAGAAAGCAGCACTTCAGAAGGCTAGAAAGCAGCAGATCAGAAGATTAGAAAGCAGCAGATCAGAAGATTAGAGCCCAACAGATGAGAAGATTAGAAAGCAGCAGATCCAAAGATTAGAAAGCAGAATATCAGAAGGTTAGAACCAGGGGCAGACTGACAACTCATAGGGCCCCCGGGCAATAAGGGATCATGGGGCCCCTGTGTCCTTGCCCAAACTAAAAAAAGCCTATGAAAAAGGTACCAGGGGCATCTCATGGGGCCCCCTACTGACCCTGGGCTAGAATGGTCAGTCCGCCCCTGGCTAGAACCCAGCAGATCAGAAGATTACAACCCAGCACATCAGAAGGCTAGAACCCAGCAGATCAGAAGATTAGAACCTAGCAGATCAGAAGATTAGAACCCAGCAAGTCAGATTAGAACCCAGCAGATCAGAAGGCTAGAACCCAGCAGATCGGAAGATTAGAACCTAGCAGATTACAACCCAGCAAATCAGAGGATTAGAACACAACAGACCACGTGGTTGGAATCCAGTTCATCAGCAGATTAGAAAGCAGCAAATTGGAACCAAATTGATCAGAAGATTAGAAAGCAGCAGATCAGAAGATTAGAAAGCTGCACATCAGAAGGCTAGAACCTGGCAGATCAGAAGATTAGAATCCAGCAAACCAGGAAAACAGAACCCAGCAGATCCAAAGATTGGAACCCAGAAGATCAGTCAATTGGAACCCACCAGATCAGAAGATTAGAACTCAGCAGATCAGAAGATTAGAACCCAGCAAGTCAGATTAGAAAGCAGCAGATCAGAAGGCTAGAACCCAGCAAACCAGAAAATTAAAACCCAACAAATCAAAAGATTAAAACCCAGCAGATCGGATGATTAGAAAGCAGCAGATCAGAAGGCTAGAAACCAGCAGATCACAAGATTAGAAACCAGCAAATCATAGGATTAGAACCCAGCAGACCACTTGATTGGATCAGCAGATTAGAATCCAGCAGATCAGAAGATCAGAACACAGCAAACCAGAAGGTTAGAAAGCAGCAGACCAGAAAATTAAAAAGCAGCAGAACAAAGTAACAGCAACATGACAGCAAAGCTGACTACAGGACTGTTGGCTGCAAGTGCTGATTGAATGCTGGTTTTCCAGCAGGACCATTTGACAGTAGCCAGTCTAATGACTAGCTTCTGTTGAACAGAGACGGGTACACACAAAGCTAAATTTGTGAACCGGCTGATTTTCAGTCCATGTATACCTAGCTCTACAAAGGTCTGTGGTCCACAGAATGTCTGCAATATGGGATCTACTGTATCCTGATAATGATATGGTATCTATACTGACAACAATATGGTATACTATATATACTGCCAGTGATGTCCTAATAAATACACATTATTATAGTGCTGCTGGATACAACAAAACCAGCTCTGAAAATATTATACATTTTTTAATGATAAACCTTACCCGCTCTCCTTTGGCTCCTAGTCTGCCAGCTGTTCCAGGGGGCCCTAAAGATCCCTAAGAAGAAAAAAAAAGACTATCAATGAGCTCAACCAACAAGAATGGCAGATTGGTTCCTTTGTGCTCATCATAACCTCACAAAATAATATACATTTCTGATAAAAGAAGAACCACATCTTTTGGCTTATACAAGCCTGAAACCTTGCTCCCTGCCCCCATATGACAGCACTGAGTGCCTGAGCCACCAATCAGAAAGGACCGTCACTGTCACATCCCATATGGAAGAAAAATATATTTGAAATATATTTTAAAAATATTTTTTCCCAAATATATTGACATATATTTGAAATGCTACAATTTTGGCCATATTCAATATATTTCAAAATATATATATATATATATAAAAAAATTATATATATATATTTATTATATATATATATATATATATATATATATATATATATATATATATATATACACTGTATGTTGAAATGCCCTTTTATTACAAAATATATGAAAGATATTTTTTAAAATACATTTCAAATATACTGTATGTCTTTTAAAATACAAATCTACATGTTTGGAATGCATTTGCAAATATATGTAAATAGATATGTTAAAATGACTTATTTATATGTTAAAAAAAATCTGAAGAATATATTTAAAAATATGTATTTTTAAAAATATATATATTTTTAAATATATTCTTCAGTTTTTTTTTCACATATAAAAAAGTCATTTTAATATATATCTATACATATATTTGTAAATGCATTCAAAACATGTAAATTTGTAAGTATTTTTTAAATGTATTTTTAAAAATAATTTTCATATGTTTTGTAATAAAAACGCATTTCAACATACAGTATATATATATATATTTTTTTTTTTTTTTTTTTTTTTAAATATGGCCAAAATTGTAGCATTTCAAATATATGTCAATAATTTGGGAAGAATATTTTTTAAATATATTTCAAATATAAAAGTGAATAATTTACATTATTGGTACACATAACTGATGGAACCCCCTGATGAAGCCATGTGACCCGGTGGCGTAACGTATAGGGGAGGGGCCCTGACGTCACAACGCTTAAAGGAGCAACACACGGAGAGTACAGGCAAAGTGGATATCACATAGAAGGATATCAAAATACTATACAAAAAGCATTTTAATGTTTTGGAATGTGAGTGCATTAATGTTTTAAGCCCAAATAAATATTTTAAAGAAGATAAGGCACTATATTTGAATTGTTTGATTGCATGTTACCAACACATGGAGAAATATGGAGTTGTAGGAAGAGAAAAAAAAAACCCTGGAGGGGAGAGGGAGAAAACCCAACCATCCATCGGAATCCAATATAAAAGGGATCTGGAGGACAACAAGACACCCTGTGGAAAATTATATTACTACACTCACCCATCCGTCCATCTGGAATAAGAATACAATCTGCAAATTACCCAATTGTCCATATAAGGGACACATGCCGCTTTGGCCTTACTTAATGGTTTGGTCAAAAACTAAGGTGAGCGCATAGAGGAGAAGGCTCACTATTTTGCAAAATCATCACGAAATGGACATTTTATTTAATTATATTTATATTGATTAATATATTTGTATATATACAATCTGAGCACTTTCAATTTTAAATTAGAGGAAATTTTCACTGCAATATATATGGTTTATGGGAATTTTTATATATTTTTATAATTTTGAAATTTTGAAAATTAATATATATTTAGTCACTAAGGTTATTAGAAATATTTAAATTTTAGTGGAGCGCGACACAACTGTATATAATATTGATTAAAGCTGCACATGTGTATAGTGTAGGCGAACCACAAGAATATTATTTATTGATTTATAGTTTCAAATTATTTTCAATACACCATAGTAGCTCACAAGCACTGCATTTACATATGGAATTGTTTTGTGGCTGTGCCATTCAATGACTGCATTTAAATGCATAAACACGATTAGCATTAGCCAAAAGCCTCAGTAGCTTTACTCTTAAGAAGACCACATTGTGAGTTTTCATTCATTCCAAAATTTTGGGAAATTATGGAAAATCAAGACATTTCTGTAAAATGTTGCCTTTTAGGTTAAATGAATTCAATGGAGTCAATGGGGAAGGCAAAAATGAAAACTTGTTTTTTTTTTTAGGTTTTTCAAAAAATAATGGGCTTTATATGGCTCTTTAGGGATACAGAAACTCCTTTCCGCTATCCTGTTTCTTGCGCCAAAAAGAGCCTCTGGTTAGCCTCATCGTATCTTTTTTTGTCCACAAAAAAGTATAAAGCAGTGAAAAAGTCAAATAAAACAATTAAAGCAACAATAAATACATAACTATCAATTACACAAAAAAGTAAAAAACAAAAATGCAAATACAAAAGAAAATAAATAACATAAAAAAAGATGAGTAAGAGTAAATTTTTTCAATTATATATATATATATAATTGAAAAAAAAAATAAAAAAATATATATATATATATATAATATAAATATATAATTGAAAATAAATATATATATATATATAAATATATAAAAATGTATATAATTGAAAAAAATTATTTTTTTTTTTTTATTTTGTAGCGGAGTTAACAAAACTGAGAACATTCGCTTTGGTGAAGGTTTACCATTACACTGTGGTCTTATTCTTGTCTATGGATTGCCATACTCATGGTAGCCTCCACCACTTGCCTGGAGTACAACTCTGCTGAGTAGTGTAGTAATAAAATACATATGTAGCTGGGTCCAGTCTGTATCATATGAGAATTTCACTTCACTGTACAGAAAATGTAAATAGTGCAATGGAACTAGTGGAGGTGAGGACTCTTGACTTTAGTACACGGTAAAGCCCCAATCATTTTCTTTTAAAACCATTTAATTCACGATAATTAAAGAGAGATTTTAGTTTCACTGAATCCATATTTGTGCGGCACTATAATAATAACTTGCAGATTGTAGGTCCCCCTAACAGCCATTACAATTTTCTTTTCATTACCTTTTCTCCTTTCTCTCCTCTTATTCCAGGAATGCCCGCTTTGCCTTCTTCTCCCTAAAAGATAAAATGATGAAAATCACATCTATAGATCACAATGTGCCTTTTAATATCAAAATTAGTCTGATTTTATCTTAGGCTTCAAAATGAAAACTGAGGAACAAAGTCATGTACGGTATATGTACTGTACGTAGGTAACCCATCCATCAGCCTCCAGGTTAGACTTGTTTTACTGGTTTACCCAGGCAGTTTGTGTTGATTAAACCCAGGGTAACTCTTTGGGTGTGCTGGCCCTACCTATATCTTGGGTTGCACAGACCCCTGCCTATATCTTGGGTCATACTGACCCCTTCCTATATCTTGGGTCATACAGACCCCTGCCTATATATTGGGTCGCACAGACCCCTGCCTATATCTTGGGTCATACAGACCCCTGCTTATATATTGGGTTGCATAGACCCCTGCCTATATCCTGGGTTATACTGACCCCTGCCTATATCATGGGTCATACAGACCCTTGCCTATATATTGGGTCGCACGGACCCCTGCCTATATATTGGGTCGCACGGACCCCTGCCTATATATTGGGTCGCACAGACCCCTGCCTATATCTTGGGTCATACTGACCCCTTCCTATATCTTGGATCATACTGACCCCTTCCTATATCTTGGGTCATACTGACCTCTGCCTATATCTTGGGTCATACTGATTCCTGCCTATATCTTGGGTCGCACAGACCTCTGCCTATATCTTGGGTCATACAGACCCCTGCCTATATCTTGAGTTGCACAGACCCCTGCCTATATCTTGAGACGCACAGACCCCTGCCTATATCTTGGATCATACTGACCCCTGCCTATATCTTGGGTCGCACAGACCCCTGCCTATATCTTGGGTTGCACAGACCCCTGTCTATATCTTGGGTCATAC